GTGTGTGTGTGTGTGTGTTCACCAGTGATGAATCCAAGTGCACAAAACATTCAGACCTGTGATAGCGGATCCGATCATCGTGGTTCCAGGTCCCTCGTCGTACATCGGGGTGACGGCCACGTCGTACTCGGTCTGGGAGATGAGGCTGGTCAGGTCCAGGGTGGTGATGTCACCGTTGACTTCAGCCTGGAGGGGACGGATTTAAGAATCAGTAATTACAAACCTACACGTCTGTGTGTTCTACCTTCGTCAAATCAAACAGTTGATGATTATTGCGTTGAATAATTTGGCCACAGATAAAGAAACTCTCAGTTCTGATTGGCTGGCGGATGTTACAGTAGTTTATAGAATAGCTAGCTGAGGAACTTGGTTGTTTAAAACTGCTGAAACGCGTCATCAGTGGATTTTTCCATTTCGGGGGAGAGCTGAATAGAGGAGAATAAACGTCGCTCTCAATTCAGGAGGCTCGAATCCAACGAGTTCCTCTGCAGAGATAAGACGTGCTCAGTATTAATCCTTAAGAGGAGCTGAGCTGCTGCACTGGAAGCGTCTCGCAGGCCGTCCACCTACGACACCTTCGGCTGCCGATACGTCGCGGACTGTTTGTCCTTCGCTGACATCCAAGTGAGAAATTATGAGGACGGGTTGGTGCCTCGATGATCCAGCGAGGCTGAGCCAGCGCTCGTCTGCCAACACGTTGCTTTTCTCATGAAGATCAGCCAACAGAGAGGAGCTGGGCGGCCAGAGAGCGGTAACTCTCCACTTTCCCAGAACGAAGACATCAGTGTGGAGTTAAACTTCACCCAGCGTACGAAGCCACCTCTGAATGACCTCACAGACATTTTCTAACACGTCCCTCAGCCATGCAGTGTTTTCTTAAGACAGGGGAGTAAGAACTGATGCCTGCCAGTGGAAAAGGTCGAAGCTGTCCATCTTCTCTAAACACAAGACTGATTTAGACGTTACACTTTGTAGGTTGGAGAATTTGAGCAACACAAAGTTTTGCCAACGATGCTCTTAAGGTCTAATTCTTAAGAAAACTGACTCCTTTAAAAGCGGTGACTGCATCATGACCAACGTCAGCCTGAGAGATAAATATTTTAAATTGACGCCATCGGTTGGACCCACAGGTTGTAAAGCAACAGACCTTCAGATCAGATTCATTTGTCAACAGGTGAAACAGTCAAACCTCAGTCTCACCTCCTTCAGATCTCCTTCATCAGGTTTGTAGGTGATCAGGTATTTGCGGACAGCTCCAGGAGCAGCGTCCCAGTTGAGCCTCATGGTGCTGTGAGTCACGTCTGTGATCCTCAGGGCTCCAGCAGGAGGCATGGGCACTGGGGGGGGGGGGGTCAGGAGGAGATCCGTTAAAAACCATGTGAACTCATCACTGTTAGTATTTCTGCTGGAGGCTTTTTAAATGTTCAGTGTGTTGGTTTAACCCTTGTGGTGTTCGGGTCAACGTTTGCTGAAAGAAAAATGATGCGATTGATAATTCTTTCAACCACAGACTCATTGGTCTTGGCTCATTCTCTGTGATGAAGATAAGAGAATGTGTGGAACGTGTGGAGGTGCTTTGTACTGTGATTCTCTCTCACTATCCCAGCTGCCAACTGGCAGGAGGCGGGGATATACAGTCTATGTGCCGGATACAACAAATACATAACTCTGACCATGTGGCTCCGTATCACAATCGAGGGTCTCGTTACCAATGTTTTAATGATGCAACCAGGGCCGACACGGATGGCGGTCACTCGTGTGCAGGACATCAAGTCTTCTCTTGAACTTTTTATCCCAGACTCCATCTAGAAAATCACTCTGGATTGCACTAATCTGGAGTGTTTTCGGAGAGAGGTGGAATGAGATGGACCAAACCCGTTTGTTTACATATTTTGGGGTTTGCTGGAGTTTTTCAAATCCTAAGGGGAATCCACCGAATCCCTGTGGGATGCAGAAACTGGCAGAGAACTTTTCCGTGCAACACTGTCTCTGGAAAACTTCCAGATTATTTTTCAGAATTATCTGCTTTGATCACAGAGATGACAGATCAGCTCGGCGGCCGGAAGACAAGCAAGCAGCCATCACCGCCTCCCCCCATTTTACAACCCTGGGCCTAACGTCCCTGGACTCAAGATCTGAGCTCTGTGACGCTGCTTCATCATATGCATGGAACTTGCAAGTGTTTACAGGAAAGCCAGATGGAGCGGCCCCTGAGAAGAACCGTCCTGGACGTGACACAAGGACTCAGTGGACTCAGTAAAACTGCCCCTCAGGTGTTGTATAGGCTGGCATGAATAGGCTACGTGTTCAATGGGGCTGATGTGTGTTCGATTTCTAAGTTCCAAGAAACAAACATCAATACTGATGAAAAACCTTGTTTTATATTTGTTTTTTCCACCGTATGTTGAGTGTAATTGATGTTTCTTTTTTTTAATTGCGTTTTATCACAAGAAATGAATAGCACTTTTATTCATAAATGTGATTTAACAGGGGTGAATGACAAGTATTAACCATTTATACTGTGTATATTTGTTATAATGAGGATAGAGTAAACATCTGTTAAGAATGTTTCCTAAGTTGTTATAGCTGTAGTGGTTTAAAGACTGAATAATGCAGAGACCAGAACATGAACACCACACAAGGCTTAAAGAGACGTACAGGTGACTCCCGTCCCCTCCAGGGGGGCGCTGACAGCTTCACCGTGCAGAGCGAACACGTTGATGGAGTACGCAGTGTTGGGGATCAGCTGCACCAGCTGCTGGCTCGACACATCTGCTCCAACACGGACCTGCAGGACGATGGAAAGACAAGAGGAGACACCTGATGCACACAGTCATAATAATAATAATGACTTCTAGTTCTCACACAAACATGTAATAGAACATACAATTATAATTAAGTTGAAATGTCATTAAAAGCTTCTCATTTGACCTGTGGCTGCACGTTGTGAGGTCTTATTCTTGCTCTAGTGTCCACACACTTTTGGCCATGTAGTATACACTGTACTGCACTGTCAAAGTCACTCCATTCATGAGTCCATGTCGTGTGATGACTGTTGATGAAGTTCTGGTTCACACTTCAGGAGCAGACGCTCCAGCTCGACCACGTCACTGTGCGCTGGAACTGCACACGAAGGTTTAACACCACAGAGCGTTCAGCTCCGTCCATAAAGCATCTGCTCTGCTCATATCACCCGATGATGTCACACCATGAGCTCATCCTTCCCATTACCCAGCCAGTCTGAGGACTCTGCTTTTTGCAGGCCCGGCCTGAGCCGTGCGGCTGAACTTCCACTTCCTGCTCTGTGAGGCGCTCATCGTATCACCATGTGGAAGCAGTAAGACGGCGCTTTTAAAGTCAAGGTGAAAATGCTGAGCGCACAAATTAGTGTGTGAGTCCCAGTGTGTGTTGAAGAGCGTTTGTGTCTGAGGTGCTGCAGCGAAGTACAACTGGGTATTCACATTCCATTTTCACACAGAGCGGCTCAAGGTAAACCATGACATAATAATATTATTCTTAATGTCGCTAACTGCTTCTAAAAAGGCTTCAACCACTTTACCTCTTTCTCCAGCTGGGGCTCGGTGGCGTTGAGGGATTTGTACATCAACATGTAGCCAGAGGCTCCGGCCGCCTGCTCCCATCTCACCCACATGGTGGTTACGGCCTCGTCGTACACGTTCATGTTCGTCGCAGCTGACAGCGGCACTGAGAGGACAGGAAGTAACAAGCAGTTCGTTATCAAACCAAGTTCTCAGGGACAATAATAATAACAGAGAGTTGAAGTATCTGCAAAAAGAATAAAAGCAGCAGCTGGTTGCTCTCAGTCGCGTGTTCATGGAACTGAAATAATCTTTTTTGATACGCATCGAATGTCTGGAGGAGGATTTTTGGCTCAATGCAAAGATAATGACACAAACACACGAGCAACATCGAGGTTACAGTCCCACAAAGATCATAAACTTGAGTTCTGAAATGTGCAGAATATTTGGTGTCGCGTGTCGTGTTGAGGCTTCTGTCTTTAAAGGGAAATCGTCAGGAATATGAACTGGGAGGATTCCAGACCCGATTCAAACCTTCAACAATCACATTTGTATATTTTACCCCTGAAACAGGATGTAAGAACCTGGACGTTTGATTAAAAACTGAAAATGTGTTAAATGTTAGAAGTGAGGATTTGGACAGCGAGTCCATCTCCTCACTGGTTCAGGACCGGATCAATCGAGGACACCCTCTTTACGAGCTCTGACACAGACACACTGCCGCCTGAGACGTTACGCAGACATTAGACCCGGTGTTAGTTTAAACGTGACAGTGAATAAATGCGGTGATCTGGTGCCAGCTCAGTGAACAGCAGCAGTGGGAAACTGTCACAGTCACATTTAAGAGGAAATAAATCAAACTGAAAGGACTAATGAGTCGTTACATCAGTTTGTTTGAGATATGAAAACTTCACAGTGCCAATAAAAAACCTTTTAACTGTCGTCTCTGTGGCTCAGTGTGATTCTCACTTCGCCCGCCGCAGACTGACGTCACCGCACCAGGAGGCGTTGTGTGTGTGAGAAACGGTTCTGGGCCTCAGATGTAAGAACGTGTTGTGATAAACAGATGTTGGAGCCGACTGCTCGGTGGGGGGGTGAGGTGAGTAAACAACCCTGATGTTTGTGATGGAGAGCAGAGGGATCATTGTGTTTATCTCACAACTCATATGGAAGAAACAAAAAAACGCTTTCCCACAACTGTCATGAACTGAGCCAGGAGGCTGTCGCACTTCTTTCATTCGTCGGTATTTAGAACTGAACGCTTCTCCCATGAGGCAAACAGGAAATGACCTCAGAAGAGAGGAGGGTAAAGAGGAAACACTCACAGGTGGTTTCTGTGCCCTTCAGCGGCTCGCTGCTCCGCTCACTGAGCACGGAGTACACGTTGACCACGTACTCGGTCAGAGGAGTCAGGCCCTCCAGCACGGTGGTGGTCACCGTCCCGTCGACCGTCAGCTGAAACGACAGAGGACTCGTTATCATTCTGGGAACCATCATTTTAAACTCGGGCACAGACACGACAGCCTCGTTTCAGGTCTCCAACAAAAACACTTTTTTGTGACTTGAAATATTAGAACCCGAACAAAATTAATCATAATGCAAGATTTTCTCCTACGTCACTGACGTCCAGTGTCCTGCTGTCGTATCGGGGGACAAAGGACAAACTGCAGATTAATTCAGATAATTGTTAAAGCTAATGAAGTGTGTTGGTTAAAGTATTATGTCCTTTGGTCACATGGTTCCTTCATCAAATCCTAGAAATTCCCAACTCATTACGTTTGTCTTTTCTGAATGAAGTGGATGAAACACAAGTGTGCCTGTAATTCACTGATTTAAAATATGACATAGTTCATAATAAAATCTCTACAATTGAATCAATACTTAGTTTCTGTGAACGAGTGTGAGGCTGCTGCTCTCATTCAGAAACTGCAGAAGGAGCCAAGTTTGAGAGAATCTGCAGTGGTCCAGGAAGTGAAGGATCAAGGTAGAGCAGGTTGAGAATGAAACGTTCCAATCACTAATCAGACAAGTACAAACACGGGCGGAGCTGCGCCGGAGAGGATTTAAGTTTCAGGAGGCTTCTAATGAAAAGTGACTTGCAGCGAGATGTCGTCAGAGCTTTTGATCCGACTCGAGTCCACGTGAAACGACACTTTATGAAAGTAAAGATGATAGAAACTAACTTTAACTTTGATTTACCGTCACAGTGGCTCAGGAAAAAAAAATCTACTTTGGATTTAAACTGTTTTTGCTTTTAAACATAAAGCTTGACTCAACAGAGCACGAGCCAGCAGAGGACTGTGTCAGTTAAAGATTTGGCTGAAGCGCCGCTGGCTCGATCTCTTGGCGTTCAGGTCAGCCGGCGTTTGATGGAGCGCCAGGTCTCATATTTTCACCTTTAGATGATTACAGCCTGTTAAACCGAAGCTCTGCTGCGTTCGTGAGCTGGTGGGAAAAACCTCGCGTGGGACGTTCAACTTGGCGGCTGAACGGTGTCACATTCCCGATCTGTTGTGCTGCGAAATCAAACCCAGAGGAGAAGCAACAAACACTGGGAGGCTGCAGAGTCTCCAGCTGGTCGTGTTTCTGATCCGCAGGAACACGACGAGGAGGCGTCGTCTACCTGTCCTCGACTCTGATTGGTTTGTAGACGGCGTCTGACGTGGGCGTGTTGTCAGATGGGGGGGGGGGGTAGAACCAGTTTATTTGGTTGCCATGGTGACGTGTAACATCATGATGGTGTTACTAGCAGCATCAGCATCTTCAGCTACAGTGCTACAGTACTCCACAGTACTAACAGTACTACAGTACTCCACAGTACTAACAGTACTACAGAACTCCACAGTACTAACAGTACTACAGTACTCCACAGTACTAACAGTACTACAGTACTCCACAGTACTCAGTACCACACTAGTTGCATTGCACCACCTGAGCGTCCTCAAACATTGAACCAAATGAAAAGTCTGGACCAACAGATCTGGACCAAAGACGGCAGCTCTAAAAGAACCTTTCACTCCAAGTTATCCAGATAACTCAAACTCAACTTTGACTCAATGACACAACTGTTGTCGGTCGTTTCCTCGCCTGCATTTCTTTTTCTCCTCGATGTGTGAATGTTGCAGGACCACAGTGAAACAGTGGCTCCAGAAGCCTGAGACGTTTGTGCTTCATCTCGGCCCCGACGCTTCGTCTTACCGGCTGCTTGTAATTCAGGAATTCACTTTCTTGTTGCGCTGAGCGTAGATAAGAGCTGCACTAAACCCCAGCATGTAAATATCAAGTATCTCATGAGCCTTTCTTCATCGCTCTTTACAGTCTGAGGTAACCAGATAAAAGACGAGCGGGCTGGTAGCTGAGGCGTCTCGGCCCGGTGTGAGGTCTGCAGCGGTAAACTAAGTGGATCCAGTGGAAACTCTGCTTGAGTTCAGAAGAGCTCCAGTGTAATTGCACAGGCTCCGTCTGACAAGAGCCAATAAAAGCACAAAGGATGGAAAAGACCCAGCGCTGGGTTTTTAAAGACGGAACAGACAGGAGGTTAAGTGCAAACTGAAAGCAGGTTCACTAAAGCGATTGAGATCCAGATTTCAGTCGGCGAAGGCCGAGTGCACGGGGCCTCTGAATAAAAGCCAGACGTGGGAATGTGGGAGAGTCGATCTTTTTTAAATCGTGACGATGACAAACAACAGAATATTCAGCAGTGAGGGTTTAAAGGTTCCAGAGTTTGTTTGTGACTATTATTTACTAAACTCACAGGAAGTCCAGATGTCACCTGATTCACAGAACAAACTAAAATCTAATGAATTAATAAACATTGTTTTTCTAACAGATGGTGAATGTTAACCAGGTTTGAACTCTTTACATCTGAACCAGGTTTAAACATCTGAACCAGGTTAAAACATCTGAACCAGGTTAAAACATCTGAACCAGGTTTAAACATCTGAACCAGGTT